GGACGCCGGAACGATAATAGGGCAAAGGGGGGCGGACGCACACCAAGGGCACCTTTAAAATCAATTTCGGTCAGTGTACCATTTTAGGGGTCAAAAATTTTTTCCGGACATACAAAAATTTTCCGTGAAGCCAAAAATTTTTCCGGATATCTTAAATTTTCACCATTTCTTCAAAATATTTTTCTAAATTCCAAAAATTTCCCAAAATTTTTATAAATATAAACTATAAATTACCTGAATCTCGTGATTTTCCTACAAAAAGCATCGTTGGAAATGTGATTTATCACGTATTATTTTACAACTAAAAGGGCACTTCTGCCCCCCCTGCCCCCCCCTAGCAAAAGGCAAGGGGGGCAGCCGTCCCCCCTGCCCCCCCAGTTCCGGCGTCCCTGTGCATAATACTGTATATTAAAAAAAAATGCGCGAACTTGCATGAAATTTATTTATCCTGCTATAGCTAAATCTTGTTGCTTGAGATACGACACCACTAAATCTCAAGTGGGAGGAAATTGAGCAAATCTGACCATCGTACTATAGTCATCATCAGGAAATAAATGATGATGATATTACATATGTACAAGTATATAATAGTGAAGTAACAAGATACGATTAGTTAAATATTAATAGATCTTTAGAGGCTTTAGTTCCATGGTTTAGGGGGCTTTCATTTATTAGAGCATAGGGGGGGTTGGCAAAATTTAAAGGTAGATTTGTAATTTTTTGCAAACCCCCCCCCCTCCATTCTATGTCAAAATTGAGTAACCCCCCCCCCATACCATATCTAAACTTTTATTAACAACTCCACCTCCCCCCCCCAACTTGAAATAAGAAACACCGTGAACTTTTCAAATAGCATGAACTTTGAACTACTATTTTATATATACAACATATTTAAAACTTTTAAAATGAAATATATTAAAACATGGATTGTTAAATTTAAATCTGAACTTTAATAAACATGCAATGTAGCATTGGTTTCATACTATTTAATAATAAAATCAATGAGATATGTCACTTCAGATGTCATTTACATCGTCGTCGTCATTTACATCGTCGTCATCATCATCATCATCATTTCCATATATTTTGTTCAATTTTAAGTGATGTTTTTTGCTTTAGTACAATTTAGCTGTAGGCTTTTAACGCTAATAGTCGTTGATAAGTATGAATATCATTACCTATTTTGTAATGCGACAGAAAATTGCAACGTTAGTGTCATTAGCGGAACAAACGAGGCAAACTAAATTCTGGGCGTATATGTTTATCTGACTTGTTTTGGTTTTCGGAACGATATGAAGCGGAACGTTTAGTGCCGTCATTGGTTGGGGGAACAAAAACTCTGTTCCTTTTATAAAGGAACAAACTAAAGCGGAACAGCTCATTCCTTTTTACACTTTAGGAACTATTCGTTCCGTTGCACGAGAAAGGAACGAAAACGCGTTCCTATTTTCGGAACTAAAGTTTTAAGTTGCAATATAACGCGAGATAGGAACAAGAATATACGTTCCTATTTTCGGAACTAAACCCAAAAGTTTCGCCCAATAATTAGCATGCAACCTTTCCTCAGCAAAGTCAGTTTTCGATTATTTGATCGGTATTGTATGAAGATATTTCAATCGAAGTCGATACTAACTATTATAACATAGTGAAGAGCAGTCATATATTGTGTTGTTCTCCATGAAGTATATTATATATTGACGAGAATTGCACTGTTGTATATGAAAGAGATTATACCTTAAATGGATTTGCGGTTTGTGAAAACTTTATGCTTCAACATGATTTATATATAAATTAGACTGATCAACTATTTTCAAAGCAAACATATTATACGTATTATAGTCGCAGGAATAGAAAATAAGGCAACCGAGAATGCATTTAGTTTTGCGTGGAATCGTTTAAGAAAGAAAGAAATAAGGAATAGAACTTCACAAATTTTATTCAACTATTCACAAAGCAAATTTAAATTTACAAGGTACATAAGTGAAATACACTAGATAAGTTTTTGTTGAATTGCACGAAGTCTAAGTGTCCTAGCTTCTCTACCAGGTTGAAAGTTATATTCTGGATGTCGTAGGATTGTGCACCAGCGTGCACCAAATCTTTTAATTCCCCTTTCTATAAATTGATCCTCTTCTTTCGTGAATCTCAGGGGTTTGCGTTTCTCGGCAGAAACCTTTTCTGTCGTTGTTTGTGGTATGGGAGTGGTTTCGTTATCACTT